AAGTGGAATGGGACACTTTAGCTTTCACCAGCAGACTCTCTGAGGGGAGCTGGGAGCTTTGGGGAGTGCTGCCACCTCAGGACCCTTCCTTCTCCAGATCTCTGTGTTCTACTGGTGGTGTCCTGTCCATCTCCCCCTCCTTTATTTCTTCTTTTAATTTTATATTGGTTTGCTTACAAAGTTCATATACTTTGTGCTTCATATTATTTTTATTGTTCATTCACATTGTGTTTCATACTAGCACTCCCATATATTGTGTTTTATATAATTAATCACCATTGGACCTTGCCTATCATTACCCTGTCTTTTCAGGTCCCTGCCCAGATCCTTCCCCTTTCCACCCCTCCCTCCACCCACTAAACGGCACAACCCTGTGATTTTTGCTCCACCCATCCTCACCCTTTTGCTCCCACCCTGTCCCCTGTTGGCTCCCCACACATGTTTTACTAGTTATTTTTCTATTTTTATAATAATTCTCTTATGCCCTATTTGCCCTTACCATACTGTGTTAGTTCATTCTGCATAATGCTCTCCAGTTTCTCCCAATTTATGTAATGTTGTTTTAGAAATTGTTGTCCCTGAGTGCTACATAGTATTCCATTTTGTGAATGTACCACAATTTCTCAATCCATTCCATTCAATTCTAATTGTGTCTAAGTTCTAATTTTCTTAGGGTATAGTCCTAGTAATGGAATAGCTGGGTCATACAGAATTTCTATATTCAATATTTTTTTTTTTTTAGGAAATGCCAAACTGCCTTCGAGAGTGGTTGTATCACTTTACAATCCCATCAACAGTGTGTGAATGAGTTCCCACCTCTCCACATCCTCTCCTACATTTTACTGCTTTCTGTCCCTGCTAAATTTTCCCACTGCTTCTGGGGTGAGATGGTATCTCATTGTGGTTTTGATTTACATCTCTCTCATTGTCATTATTTTTTTTAAATTTTAATTTTTATTATTATTAATTTTAATGAATATTTACAGAGAGTTTATATTTCTGTTCATTCACTGTTGTACTTTTCTCCTTGCCCAATCCTCCCCTCCCCTCCCCCAAGCCCCAGTTCGCACCAATTTTGACCATTTCTTCATGTGTCTGTTGGCCATCCACATATTTTCCTTTGTTAAAAGTTTTTCCATGTCTTTTGCCCATTTTGTAATTGCCCATTTTTATTTAATGCTTCCTACATCACTCAATATGTTGCCCACGGAATCCTTCAGTATGTGATTCCAGGCCTGTATTTGTTTTTCAGATCTTTCACCTTGAGAAATCAGGAGAGTGTTCTTCCATTTTTGTTTTTTAGCTCTTTGTACATTTCATTATAATACTTTGCTTTGTCTTCTTGAGATTTGCTCTGAAATCTTCTGTTTATCTTCAATATTTCTTCCTTTTGTTTAGTCCTTTCTACCTTCTAGTATAAGGAACACTAGTGATCAAATGGTAAAGAATTATGCTGCAAAACCAAAGGCACCCGGTTTGAATTCAGCAGCTGCTTTGCATGAAAAAGGTGGTCTTTCTCCTTCTGTGTGATTTGTAACCTCTGAAAATACACTGGAGGGTCTGCTATGAGTCAATTCTGACTCAACAGCACATAACAACAACCTTCTAGTATAGGGAGCTCTTGTGGCCTACTGGTAAAGAGTTGTTCTGTCCACACAAAGATTTGAAACCAAGAAAGCTGGACAGTTTCTTCACAGGCAATTTACTGCTTCTGAAATCCTGCAGGAGTGTCAGCTATGAATAGATTCTCACTTGATAGTACACAACAATAACAATAATCTTATAATACAATTTTCTGTTGCATTCGTAGTTAAAAAGACCATTTCAGAATCTATCTTGACATATAGTGCTATGAGCGGTACAATACTATCCGTATGCATATAAAGCAGTCCTGTTAACATTGAGAAGCACAGGCATCCAGAGCACTTAATTGTGCTCATGTAAAATGAAGAATCTGTTTGTCCAAACAGAGCAAGGGAATGCTTTGTGGTTTAAAATCAAGAAAAATGGGTATCAGGGCTATATCCTTTCTCCATACCTGTTCAGTCTGTATGCTGAACAAACTCTAGTGCAATTTTCATATGGGTAGTTGCATTTTATGAAGAATGTTATGTATCTGGCTTGCTGAAAATGAGGAAAACCTGAAGGATGTGTTCTAAAATACTACATCTTTTAATACGGTTTAAATCTCTTAACCAGCAGGCAACATTATCATGATAGGTAAAGACTGAAATTGTCAACAATCCCATATTACTTGTAGTCACAATCAAAACCTGTGGATACAAGTTACGTGTTCATTTATTAAAGAATGGTCTCAGCTGTTCCTCCTTATTTTTTAGTCTTTTCTAACCTGTGTTTTAACACTATGCAAAGTTAGCTGATCTCCAAATTTCCTACCATAGCTTGGTGAGCACATCTGAGGCTTCATTTGTTGGGTGAAGCATGTCAGTTGATATCCCATCAATTCCTGGAATCCTGTTTATGCCAGTGGCTTCAAGTGAAACTTCAGCTTCTTCCTTTATTACTACTGGTTTCTGATGATACTACTTTTTAAAATGATTTTGTGCCTACATTATGTTACGTTTTGAAATGATTCTGTGGGGTTTTTAATGCAGTAACTCAGCATTTCATTCCTTTCATCTTCTTTTTATGCTTCGTAGGTCATTCAGGAGTATGCCCATGTCATCCTTCAGTATTGGACTTGAAGCTTAAATTTCTTTTCAGTTCTTCAACTTGAAAAATGATGAATGAGTTCTTCCTTTTTTGTTTTCTATCCAACTCTTTTCACATTTTTCATAATATTTTGCTTTGTCTTCTTACATTGCCCTTTGAATGCTTCTATTTATCTCTTTTACTTCATTGAATCTTTGTTTTGGCTTCTCAGTACTCTAGTGCCATTTTCAGAGTCTCTTTGGACATCTGTTTTGTCTTTTTTTTCTCTTCTATTTATGGAATGAACTTTCTTCTTTCTTCATGGATGATAGCCTTGATGTCATGCCACAGCTCATCTGGTCTTCAATTATTAGTGTTTAATGCCTCAAACCTGTTTTTCTGATAGTTTTACAATTGTCTTGGGATAAATTCAAGATTGTGTTTTGGTTCTTGTGGGGTTTAACTTGAATTTACACACGAGTAATTGATGGTCTCTATGAGGAGGAATGTAGCATCACAATTGGAGGAAGACTCACCAACACTGTGTGTTATGCAGATGACACAACCTTGCTTGCTGAAACTGAGGCATTTGCTGCAGAAGGTCAAGGACTGCAGCCTTCAGTATGGATTGAAGCTCAACATCAAGAAAACAAAGATTTTCACCACTTGGCCAATTGGCAGCATCATGATAGACAGTGAAGAGACTGAGATTGTTAACAGTTTCAGCTTGGTTGGCTCCATAATCAACACTCTTGGTACCAGGAGCCAGGAAATTAAAAGACAAATTGCACTGAGAAAATCTGTGTCAGAGACCTCTTCTGAATACTGAAGGGCAGTGGTGTCAGTCCAGAGACTAAGGTGCACCTGATCCAGGCCTTGATCTTCACAATTACCTGCTATGCATCAGAGAGCTGGACAGTGACTAAGGATAATGGAAGAAGAATCAATGCCTTTCAGTAGTGGTCCTGGAAAAGAGTATTGAATATCATTGGAGAGGGAAATCGTGTTTGAAAGGGTGGAGGGTCAGTGCTAAAGAGGAAGACCCTGGATAAGATGTATTGATTCAGTCACTGGGGTAATGAGTGAAGGTGTGTCAGGGATAGTGAAATTGGATCAAGATAGAGCAGGCTTCAGAACTGTTATATGTAGGTTCACTCTGAGTTGCAGGTGACTTGACAGCACATAAACAGTTGATGGTCTGTTCCACCATCAATATCTGGCCAGGTTTTGACTGCTGATATTGAACTTCTCCAACAATTCTTTCTACAGATGTAGTAAATCTGATACCTATGTAGTTCATCAGGTGAGATTCATGTACATAGTCATCATTTGTGTTTTTTTAAAAAGGCATTTGCAATCAATAAAACATGTATTGTACAAAATTCAACCATTTGAGTTATTCCTATCACAAGTCCATAATTGCCAGCTACCAGTTCCTCTTCTTTGTTTTCAACTTTTGCATTCCATTCACCAATTATGATTAATGTCTTTTAATTACACATTTGACCAATATCTATCTGATTGCAAAAGTTGGTATAAATTCTCAATTTCAACTCTATGGCATTAGCTGTTGTGGTGTATATTTGAATAATAATTGTATTAACAAATCTGCCTTGTATCTTCCAAAGGATCTTTGGTGGCACTGTGGTTAAGTGCTTGGCTGCTAACTAAAAGTTCTGCCATTTCAACTTACCACTTACTACATCAATGAAGAATGTTAGTCGGGTACACTAAAGATTACAGCGTAGAAAGCTATCTGAAATAATTCTGCTTGGTGCTATCGTGTCCCAGTGGGTTAGAGTTGATTTGATTCAGTAATATAGGTTTAGGATCTTCCATACTATATAAGAATTGTTCTCCACACTATGCTTCTATGATGTTTTTGCTGTATTATGTATTTATTCTAGGATTTCTCATTATATTAGAAATATTTTATTAGATTATAATTTATTAAACTCTGAACTTGTCCATGTTTTATTTATGATTTTTTTAGCACCACATTTACTCACTCATTGGGTTATAATAGTTTTACAAATGGAAGATTTAATACTAATTAATCATTTTATAAGATGAAAAGGCCTTGCTTTCTCAATTTTGACTCCAGTCCCACAGACTCATTCCCTCTCTGTCACAAACTATGGGAAATCCTGAGGTCATATTTTGTTTCATATTTAGAATTTTAATAGTGCAATTTTATAATACCTATGTTTTATTTTAAATTATTTAAAAATTTATTCATATTTGTAATTATTACACATTTTTGTGCTAACTTTGAAAATGTTACATTATATTAAAAACTGGTTTTTTAAATATATATTTAATAATTAAAATATTGTTTTCCCTTTAAGGATCAAAGTAACAGTGAAATTATGATTGGTGTGATGTCTGGAGGAATTCTGATTTATAAGAACAGAGTACGAATGAATACTTTTCCATGGTAAGAACTTCCATCAATATTTTACACTTACAGCCTATATAATAATTTATATTTTATAAAATTACTTTTGAAATGCTTTAATGTTGTCAGTTTACTTACCTGATGCAACTTATGCTTTACTCCATTTGGTGGAAACTTACTGGAAGATACTAAAATAATTTAATTGTTAATTTTTTAAGTTACTTGTTAAAACATTTTACTTAAGAATCTTTTTCTTCAAGAATTTCTTACTATGTGCTATAGAAATAGCAGTGTTGTTGTTGTGTGCTATCGAGTCAGAACTTACTCTTAGCTGACCCTCCAGTGGATTTTCGGGGATTATAAATTGCACAGGAGGAAATGGCTGCATCTTTCTCCCTTAGAGCAACTGGATTTCGATCACCTGTCTTCAGTTTGATAGTGAGTCCTTGTCACTCAGCCACCAGCACTCCATAGAGATATTAATGGCTTACGTTTAAGTGCCATTCTGTCTCGTGTGTCATGTTAAATGTTTTCAGTGTGTATATCATATAAATGCATCAAGTGTAACATTAATTGTGACATAGATTTGGCTGTTGAAAGATCCAGTGTCACAGTGTTTTAAATTAATGCAAGGGATAAGGGCTACATGAGGTTTTAGAACTCCTGTTTTGGATTAGGTTTTTCGTTTTATAATTCTACTGTACCTAACATGTCCTTGTCCAAGATGGCTCATTGCCGTTACTACTTCTACAATTTTAGAATGGAAAAAAAAAGAAAAAGGAGCTTCTATAATTTCCCTTTAATGGGATGGATGACTTGGAAGTCATAGAAATAATTTTGACCACATTCTATGTACATCTTGTGTGTGTGTGTGTATAGTTTGTTTTTATTTAATAAACACCATCATTTTCCTTATATAAGGAAATAAAAATATAACATCCCAAGAGATTTGATCCTAATTTTTCACTATATTTTGGTTTTGGAAATAATGACTTTATTAACATTAATATATGGTAGCTGAAGAAAGCAAATATTTTAGGAAACTGTTAGTTAAAATAATAGAGAAAAATTTTCATAATAAAAAATGTAAAATAGGAAAAAATATTAATTTAGACATCCTCAAAATTAAGGATTTTTAAAAATTTTATTTATTTATTTATTCTTTTTATGTGTGTACCGTCAAATTGGATCTGACTGGTACAGGAGGCGATTGTTCCTCCTTCTTCAGCAGAGCATCTGGTGGATTTGAACCGCGCACCTCTGGGATTGCAGTGCAGTTTCCTGCCACTAGGCCACCAGAGCTCGCCGGATTTTTTTTTATTTCACTAAAAGAAATCCTTAAAATCAAAGGACAAGTTACAGTGTTAAGTATTTGATAAATAACTTGTTCTTGGACTATTTATGTAACATTTATGGATAAGTAAATACCATCTGGTTGGAAAGGATGTGAAAAGTATTTAAATGAACACTTCCATCAAGGAAATTACACAAACACATGAAAAAAATGCTCAGTTACGCACAGATTATAAATTAAAACCAAAGTCACTCCTGTACCTACTTTTTTTTTTTTACGAAGCAGAAAATAGTACAATCTTTATTGTCACAATCTATATAAGACAGGTCTATTTGTGAACCCATCCCAACAGGAAGGAAGACAAGACCTTTATTTCACACTTGAATAAAATGACTTACAAACTGTTGGTTACACTTTGCTCTTACTCTTTAGTAGCTGTGAAAAGAAATTCTCCTAAGTCATAAGATGATGAGAGCGCCGTTGGGAACAGGGCCCTCAGTAGCAGTGCACCACCCGGGAGAACACGCCTTGTGGCTCCTTCCCGTCCCCCAAGGCAGCAGCAAATCCCTCCTCTCGCCTCCTTTTGGCCAAAGCTGCCAAGGATTTGAAAGTCTTTGGTTCATAGATGGCCAGGTCTGCAAGCATTTTCCTGTTGAGCTCCACCTGGCACTTAACTAAATTGCCGACGAAGGCTGGGTACTTCAGGCCATGCTCCTGGGAAGCAGCTGTAATGCGATTGATCCAAAGCGTCCTCTTGTTCCTCTTCTTCAATCGCCGGACATTTGTGCATTTCACAAAGGCTCGAATCACAGCCCTTACAGCCAAACTGTAACACCGATTCTTCCTTCCTCTGAAATACCGGGCGTGCTTCAGCACCTCCTGGATCCGCCAGTAACGGTCTGTGACGCGGCTTCGCAGCCACAGCTGCATCGTGAGGAAGACCATGGTGGCTGGAGGTCAGCAGGCCGCCCAAACACAGAGAGCTCGCCGCCATGTCCTGTACCTACTTTAAGGACTCAAATTATAAAGTCTGGTGATGCCAAGTGATGAAGAGGTGGTGGGATGTCTAGAAATAAGTTTATTTAAAGTTAAACCGCTTACCATATGATCCAACAGTTCTTAATGGGAACATAAATTCCTATAAAGACTTGTCTGTCATATTCAGAGCCACATTCCTCTGGAGGTTTGAATTGATCAGTGGCTCCTCAGAAGAAAAATAGGCAGTCTTCTCCCATAAAATTTACAACTGTGTTTCCACAGTTGGAGAATCACTGTGAGTCAGAGGGAGTAAATAGAAATGAGTTTGAGTTTATATTATTTATGAGAACCCAACGCAGAAATTCAGTTGCCCAGTAACCTGTGAAGAAATAAGCAGATTATGATACATCCACACAATGGAATACTGCATAGTAATAAAAAAGGAGTGTTGTTTCTATTGAGGTGAAAGAAATTCTATCCAGGAACTGAAACGTTGAAGGAGGTGAGTGACTACAGAGGAGTACTTTTTTGAGGTATTAAAATATTATCTAATTGTTAGGGAAGGAATGTCTATCTGTGTTTCATTGATTATGCAAAGGCATTTGACTGCATGGATCATAACAAACTGTGGCTGACTCTGTGAAGAATGGGAATCCCAGAACATTTAATCGTGCTAATGCGAAACCTATACTTGGACCAAGAGGCAGTCGTCAGAACAGAGTAGGGCAACTCTGCATGGTTCAAAATTGGGAAGGGTGTACGCTAGGGATGTGTCCTATCTCCATACCTTTTCAACCTGTATGCAGAGCAGATTATCTGAAAGGCTGGGCTCTATGAGGAGAAGTATGGCATTAGGATTGGTGGACTATCTATCAACAGTCTGCGTTATGCAGATGACACAACCCTGTTCGCTGAAACTGAGGAGGACCTCATGCACTTACTGCAGAGGGTCAAGGACTGCAGCCTTCAATATGGACTGAGGCTCAATGTCAAGAAGAC